GATTTTGATATAATCTCATACAAAGTTAAAATCTCATTCTTAATAGATAAGAATGATAAGAAAGAGAAATCGTGTGAAGTAGATCATAATAGATAAGAATAATAAGAAAGAGAAATCGTGTGAATCGTGTGATTTTATTAAACCTTTAATCTTAAAAAGTTGCGCAGTAGCTCTGCCACTTGTTTACAGCTTCCATTGTGCTTAGTGAACCTGTTCAATGGAAATCAGCCAGTATAAGTCCTCAATTTAAAAAAGGAAGTAAACAGTCACCGTTGAGTTATCGTCCAATTTTACTCACTTCTGTACCATGTAAAGTTTAGAAAGGGTTGTGCGAGATTTACTTATAAATTTTCTAAATGCAAATAATCTTCTTTCAAAAAATAAACACAGCTTTGTTAAAAAAGATCTTGTTCTACCAACCTTATTGAGACATTAGATGCATACTCGTATTTCTATCTCAGAATATAACTGTTGATGTATTTTACTTAGACTTTGCAAAGGCATTTGATTCAGTGCCCCATTAAAGACTGGTAAAACTGATAAAACTTAAATATTATGGAATTTCTGGTACATTGTTAAAATGAAAATGGATATATTTAATGGTATGCCGCAGGGCTCGGTTATTGGCCCTTTTTTATTTATTATTTATATTAATGATTTTCCTGAGAACTTTGTTAATATCTTGAAAATGTATGCTGATGATGCAAAAGTATTATCAAGGATTGATTGTGAAGCAAGTGTTATCCTATTGCAAAATGACCTAGATAAAGCTGTCAACTGGTCCAAAAAATGGCTTTTAAAATTTAATTTTGAAAAGGGTTTGATAATACTTTGATAAAATTAACCCAAAAAGAACTTATTTTATGCAAAATATACCTTTAAGTACCACTGTCACTGAAAAAGATTTTGGTGTAGTATTTACCTCTGACTTGAAATGGAAAAATCAATAACTCTATGTACAAGTAAAGCAAATAAAGTTTTGTGTATGTTGAGGAATTCATTTTTAAGTTTAAATAGTGAATTACTAAAAATCATATACAAAACTTTTCTAAAACCGTTAATTGAGTTTACTGTATTTGTGTGGTCTCAAAGCCTTAAAAATAAAATTAATCTCTTAGAAAAGGTACATCGGCGTGCTACAAGAATGATATCACCACTAAAAAAAAATTATGTTATAAAAAAAGATTAGATAAAATGGGTCTCACTACTTTAGTTGTAAGACGGATTCGGGGTGACTTGATTCAAATGTATAAGTTAATCAATGGAATTGAAAAATTTAATTTAATTAATGAAATTTTGCGAAGAAGTTATTAATCAGCAAGAGAACATCAAATGAAATATAATCGCGAAATAACCAGTTTTTCGCCTCGGCATTATTTTTTAACAAACATATCATATTTTTACTGGAATCGACTACCTACTAATGTCGTTAATGCTATTTCTGTGAATTCTTTTAGAGCTAAACTTGATATATAGATTTTAAATAATGCAACTATGCTGAATAATGGTTTAGCTGTCTAAGTGTACTTGGTACAATCACCGAATTATCAGTCACAGCTCAATTATATTACTATTGCGAAAACTTTTATTCAAATTTTTACCCAAATTTGCTCTGTTGTAACAGTTTTTTATTGGTAACAAAATTACTAAGTAGTTTTTACTTGATAAATTTCCATCTGTTTGTACCTGGTTAAATTAAAAATAATAAAAAAATACTTTGTTTAATTAATTCTTTTGTTATTACGTATTGGCCGATTTTATAACTATAACTGCAACAAATTTAAGATTTCTAAAGCAATCATTTGTAAAAAAAAATTTATTTGTCAAAAAGATTATAAGATTTTTAAAAGATTGATTTTCTTTGTTTAAAATGTTTTTTTTATTTAGAATAACTTAATACCAAAGTAAATAGCTATTATAACGTGTTTTTTGTGTAAAAATTTTTTTTTGACAAATCGTTAGCCGAAACCGTAAGTCCATTTTTTGTATTTGCGAGAAAATCAAGTTTTTAAATTTAATTTGTAAAGACTTTCTGCCAGAATGTCCGAATGATTTTTTAGATATTATTAAAAGTTGTATCATTCTTGAGACTAGAGTTTTTGGACACATACCCCATAAATTGTTAATGGTTTATTGATATTGAACAGAAAAAACACAAAATGTGGACATACGGCCTCTTCGTTCTCGGCTCACGAAATCACAAAGATTTATGAATTATTTTAAAGGTAATCCGTATGAATTATGAGCACAGACAAAACTATAAACCATAATAGTGCTTTAAGTCTTTTATTATCTGCAGAAAAAATGGAGATGCGTAAATGGAAAGTCTTAGTTGTTTTTAGTTTCCTTGTGATTTTTTACATTTACTTTTTAACTAATTTGTATTCAAGAATAAGTCACGAAAAAAAAATTGATGTTTTTAACAGCTCATTTAATACAGAAAAGTCGATACAGATACGATTGAAAAGATTTACTAACAAAATACGCCAAGCAAAAAAAGGTAAGCATACATTAGTCGAGGCATTTTTTTAAATGTGTGCACATAAATAAATTTTGATATAATAAGTTTTAAAATAATGAAAAATATTTAATGATATAAGTTAAAAAACATCAACTTTACCCATCATCATTGTCTACAAAACATTCATTGATAAATTAATTTTACATTAGACTAACTTTGTTTTGCCATTAGTTATATTTAATTCAGAAATTACGCTTATGTTTAATTTTTTACTAATATTAACATTTAATAATACATATACCCAAAATCAAATTATTCTGTCGTTTTAAAACAAAATGTTTATATCATATACAAAATGTGGATACATATTACCTCAACAGTGTAGTAATATATATATATATATATATATATATATATATATATATATATATATATATATATATATATATATATATATATATGTAACTATTAATATAGTGTAAACTAATATAAAAAGTAAAAGGTAAGGGTAAAGGACTTGGCAAAATAACAATTAAAAATTAATCTATAAAGCTTCTATTTCTTAAAAATGATTTAATCTATTGTATAACTATTTATTTTGAAATTTAGCTCTAGAGTTTTTTTATATTAGTAGTGCTACTATAAAAAAAAAATTATTTTTTTAAAAAGGAAATTAAGTGTGAAATTGTGCAAATGATTTTCATAAGCATTAAATTCTTTTCATTTTTAATTTCCACCAAACAAAAATCTGGAAAAAAGGTTCCATAGTTTTATTATTCTTTTTTTTTTGGCAATCATAAACATAATTGTCGAATCTGTCAGTTGATTCCAGTTCGGCAACTTGAGATATGGCCATTTTTTCAATTTATTAAACAGATCGTTTTTTCAGTCTATGTAGAATGATCATTACATGCTGAACACTTTAGATAATAGTTCACATTTTTTCTATTACAGGTAATATGGCTTTTTATCTTCTAAGTAGCACCGTTAGATGTTACAAGGCTTTCTACTTCTTGTATATATAGCAGGCAAAGTTTTCATCAAACATTCTTACATTTAAATAATCTTGTTACTTTTACAATGATGCAGATTGAAATTTGGCAGAAGTTGTCTCAGTAAGCTTGCTGGTTGTTTGTTATTACTCGATGTGTACTTGAAAAAAAACGTTTTTTACTCTCTCATTACATGATAAACTGAATAAATGGTTAGTTTTATTTAAAATAAGTTGGAAGTTTAGGTTGCTATAAAATGTTGTAACTAAAGCAAAAATTTCTTTTCTACTAATTTTTTGAGTTATTACATACTTTCAGGCATAATTTCAGATTATTTAAACATAGTTTTTCAGTGACGTCATCAGATGTAAAAACTATTTTTTTGCAAGATTGTATGGAATATTCATTTTATAGTATGGAATATTGAATTTAATGTGATCAGGGTGATAGCTTGTGTAATTTAGGTAGTCATAGATGTTTGTTTTTTTATAGAATACGTCGGCTGTAATATATTTGTTATTTTTAAGAATTACAGAGATATTTGTATAATTAATTATATTATAGATTTTTTTCTCTTTCAATAAGTTCGGTGCCATTGTCTAATGTAAAGCTGATTGAGTTATTTAATTCTGCAAGTGGAATATTAAATTTATTTATATTTAAATGTTTTAGCCATATGTTGAAACCATCATCCACATATCTAAAATTAACTGTTCTATATTTTGCACTTCCTCATTCGAGAAATATTTATGTGAGTTTTTTGTAAAAAGCATTGTTTCTTCTATGAATCCAATTGAAAGACATTAATAGTCTGGCGCAAAATATGTTCCCGTTGCTGTGCCTGTAATTTGATGAAATAATTGATCGTTGATGATAAAATAGTTGATTTTTAAAATAAAGGATGCAGATGCAATCATAAAATTGTTGTAAACTGTTCGGGTTAAAGATCTTTTTTATGTTTTTTAACCCAGAGTTTCAAAGCGTCTAACCCAAGACTGTGTGGAATAGTAGTGTAAAGCTTAACAAAATCACATGTAAGTATACTTCCATGTGAACTTTTACTTTGAAATATCAATCATCTTTAATATAAGTCTTTTGTTTCTGAACAATTGAAGATAAAAAATTGCATAAAAACTGGCTTAAATGTGATGTCGGTGAATCTACTCCTGCAATAATGGGTCTTTTTAGGTCTTCTGAAGACTCCATCTCAATAAATAAAGGACTAGATTCTTGAACATTTTTTAATAATTTTTTTACATTTATGAATTTTTGGAATTATATAAAAATTGCTAGGCTTACATTAAAACTATGTAATGTAGTCAATCTTTATATCCTGCTTTTAAACGACTAGAAAATTTGTTTTTGGGTATATCTATTATTAAATGATAGTCACAATTGGTTTATGGGATAGCAATTGTATTTTTACCTCTACGGTGGTAGCCACATATGACCCCCATTTGGCTAAATTACCATTTAAGTATTATTAGTATGATACTTAATGGGCCTTGTCTACTCTAGTCCGGCGGACCTCTTAGGACGTCATGCCCTCCGGGTAAAAAAACATAACTAATATCTGCGCTAACCCTCAAATAAAGTATGACTAATACGCACAAATTTTCTTTTTGAGTATCTCTTTAATATATTCAAATTAACTCACAGCTTTAAAATTTTATTTCATCACATATTTACAAAGTTTTATTAGTTTTTTTTTTCTTACTGAATGTTTTCTTTTAGTTTTGATTTTTTTTTATTTATTGTTTTTTTAACCCACAATTTAACCTGTAAATTCAGTTTACTTGTTTTTAAATATTTTCTTTTACTTATTACATATGTCATTACAGTATGGTTTCATTAATAAATTTACATCGTCATACTTACGGAAGTAAAGTTTTGAGATAAAAAAGTTTGCTTTTCAAAGCTATTTTTTTCATTAAAAATAAAAGATTCCTATTGAACTTTTTTATGCAATGATAAACAGCATCAAAATTAGTTTTATCTTTAATTCAGTAATAAACCTTAAATATAATACTTTCCTGTATTTTTTTAAGTTTTTCTACTCTGCCATGATACAAGGCTGTAACAGACTATGTAAGGTTGTAACAGACTATGAAAGGTTTTTTTTAACAATTTTTTTGTCATTTTTTCAATTTTCTTAGTGATAATTTTTAAATAAGTTCTGAGTTTAACTGATAATTACTTTAGATAGCTATAACTCTAACTTTCTTTTTTCTTGTTCATTTTTTTTTTAGCGTTTTTCAGTCTGCCTTTAAAAAACCTCAACAATAGTTTCAGCATGTTGAAGTCGAATTTTTATTAGAATTTTTGTGCACTCCCTGAATAGTCAATCTTTTCTCTAGACATCAAAAGTGTCAAGACAATCTTTCTATTCTTTTCATTTTAATCTAATCATTTCTATTCTTTTTAATGAAACGATACTTTTGTTCAGGATAGTATTGAAAAGGTAGCTTACCTTGAAATCAAATGTGACATCAAATAACTTTTATTTATTAGAACTCAAAATATTTTTTTTAATTTTTAAACATGCCCAAATGCAACACTGCTCCAAGCAAACACTATTAGGGTAAGATATTACTAAAAGAGAAAAAATAAAGTTTAAAGAGATAACAGTTAACAGTCTTAAAAGATTGCAATTTATATCAGTCAGAAAAACAAGATAAAAGGAGTGAATTCCAATGAACTGACGTTCGAGGAAAAAAACTAAACAAATAAGATTTTTTGGAGCACTTAGGAACAGTCACAGTAAACGGATGAGACTTAATTGAATGACGAGAAACACGAGAATGAATTTGAGTAGATGGCACAAAAGACGCTAGCTCTTTAGAGCAGTGTCCATTAGAGTATTTATAGAAAAGAGAAAGAAAAGCAACATTACGCTAATGTGACTATGGTTGAAGGTTCGATGTAAAAGCAGGTGTTACTATGTTTATAATGCGTTTATACACCTTGTCTAATAGAGAAAGGGCATTATTTGTTGATTTGCTTCCGGTATGTCAACAGTATTACATACAAAGATGAATTAGAGATTTATAGAGATAAAGAATGGAATCCGGAGTAGAGTGGTGAGGTCAGTAGCACTTGCCTCTCCACATCTATCTAAGTTACGATAAAATCTATTCGCAATTACTAAAAATAAGAGATTAAGTGTTTGTTAAATAAAGACCCAAAAACTTTGCTTATGATAGTAAGAAGACTAATGGGATGTTAGTTAGACGAGTCAGATTGCTCTACAGAACTTTTGAAAGTAGGGATGACAGATGCTGCTTTCTAGAAGGCTTAAAAATAAGACCTAATAACACTTTTTAAATAGTCTTGAAATTAAAGATGACAGCTCAAGAGAACTCATCTGCAAGACTATAACAAGTGTATTGTCCGCAAGCTGTAGAAGAATCAAGCAATGGATAAACAAGTTTGTTGGTTATATCAGATAGGAAGTTCTCAGTGTTATCGAGAGATGGAATTAATGAAACGTTTTTTGCAAACAATTCAACTTTGATCGGTCCGTGATCAGAAGCACCTAACAGTGAATGCAGAGAAACTGACCAATTATTAGGATTAGTAACAAGACGTAGGTCGAGTAGAGGAGATAAATGATTCGTGTTGTCTGGAAAGCAAGGTGGAAAGTTAACTATTTGTGTTAGAGATTGAGTATGGTAAAAGTTTTGGGCCATAACGCCTGCAGAGTCAAATGGGTGAACTTATACATTAGTAAATACTCCGGCTAAACATGTGATAATTGGAGTCTTTACAAATTAAAGAAAGATAACCATCAACACAAAGATAACAAGATGAGATAGATTAACTCAAGTTAGTCTTACAAAGAGCAAGTATGTCTTGTGAGCTTTGCAAGAGATAAGACTCAACACAATAAAATTTTTTTTAAGATTGCAATTAATAGTGAATGATGGATTTAGAGAAGATGGTTCTTTTGTATTATACTTTGTTTTCCAATTAATACTACCATTAATTGACATGCTTATTGTTAATCTGTTATATATATAGCTTATTGTTAATCTGTTATATATAAAG